ACCATGTTTGCCACTGATGTGCGCCTTAAGTGAGGCCTTGGTAGTGAAGGCACATGGGCAAGAGTGACATTTGTGGGGCTTTTCCTCGGTGTGAACATACTCATGACTCCTCAATCGAAACTTGGTGGGGAAGCCCTTGTGGCAAACTTGACAAACAAAGGGGAAGTTGCCATTGTGACTGTACATGTGGCGTCTGAGTTGACCTGGTGTCAAGAAGCCTGCTCTACATTCGATGCACACATGACTGAGAATCTGGAGAGAGAGAGGTTAGTGTTTATTGGGGGAAGAGATATAGGAGACTTGCCTTCTTGTGCATTTTCTTCACGTGATTGCAGCAATTGGAAGCAGCATGGAATGCCTTGCCACAGAACTGGCATATGTGCGGTCTCTCCTTAGTGTGCGTGCGTTCGTGGTCCATCAATGCACCCTTGGTGGTGAAGCGACTACTGCAATGTGAGCACGCAAATGGTCTCTCGCCAGTGTGGATGCGTACGTGTCTAATGAGGAGAGATGGCCTATCAAATCGTTTTTGGCAGTAGGTACACTCGTGCACTTTCCTATCCGAATTCCCTCTCCCACCTCTAAGTACACTTGACACCGGAGCCCCAACATCCTCGGAGAGATATTGTGCATTGGTATTGTTGAGGGGTGTGGAAGAAGAAATTGGTGGGGTAGGCAGAGACCTCTCTCGAGACGACGTGGGCGTTAAATCAATGTGACGACCTCCGACAATTGGCGACGTGTTTTCTTTACTGTCTGGCAATCGACCTTCTTGAATTGTGTTGCTTGCCGTTTCAAACCCGCTGTCCGTTTGAGTCGACTGATCTNTCTTCTTCTTCTTCTTCTTCATGAGAGGGAGTAGGCTGAGAGGCGAGTTGAGGTGAAGACGAAGTGGGTTCGTTGATGTGCGAGTGGGTTAAGAGAGCTGAAATAAAGAGAGGAGGTGAGGTAAGTGAGTGAAAGGTGAAAATGCATTGATTTGAGTGAAGGAAAGACAATTACCCATTTGGTTTGGAGGTTGGTTGGTGTCAGTGCCATCAGTGGGGTCATCTGTTGTGTAGTTGGCGTGTGAAGTACTTGGTTCACTTGGACGGTGCACACGCATCGAGGTAGGTGGTGTATTGGAGGACTCGCCTTCTCTGCCTTCTGAGTGTTGGGAAATGCTCGAATGCATGGAAAATTCACCATGTTTGCCACTGATGTGCGCCTTAAGTGAGGCCTTGGTAGTGAAGGCACATGGGCAAGAGTGACATTTGTGGGGCTTCTCCACGGAGTTAACATACTCATGACTCCTCAATCGATACTTAGAGGGGAAACCCTTGTGGCAAACTTGACAAACAAAAGGGGAAGTTGCCATTGTGACTGTTCATGTGGCGTCTGACCTGATTTGGTGTCAAGAAGCCTGCTCTACATTCGATGTACACATGGCTGAGAATCTGGAGGGGGAGAGAGGTTAGTGTTTATTGGGGGAGAAGATATAGGAGACTTGCCTTCTTGTGTGTGTTCCTCACGTGATGCCAGCAGTTGGAAACAGCAGGGAATGCCTTGCCACAGAACTGACATGTGTACGGTCTCTCCTTAGTGTGCGAGCTTTCGTGGTCCATCAATGCACCCTTGGTGGTGAAGCGACTACTGCAATGTGAGCACGCAAATGGTCTCTCGCCAGTGTGGATGCGTACGTGTCTAATGAGGAGAGATGGCCTATCAAATCGTTTTTGGCAGTAGGTGCACTCGTGCACTTTCCTATCCGAATTCCCTCTTTCACCTCTGATTACACTTGACACCGGAGCTCCAACATCCTCGGAGAGATATTGTGCATTGGTACTGTTGAGGGGTGCGGAAGAAGAAATTGGTGGGGTAGGCAGGGACCTCTCTCGAGACGACGTGGGGGTTAAATCAATGTGACGACCTCCGACAATTGGCGACGTGTTTTCTTTACTGTCTGGCAATCGACCTTCTTGAATTGTGTTGCTTGCCGTTTCAAACCCGCTGTCCGTTTGAGTCGACTGATCTCTCACTGAATACTCGTCACTTCCAGGAAGTGCTTTTCTGACTCCAGGAGTTGTGGAGTAGGCATTTTCAGAAGTACCCATTTCCGACTACAGACGAAAAACACATTCATTCATCAGTTCACATTCAGCCTGATAAATGTCAATCTCAAATGCAGTTGCGTACTTCAATAACAGATGAAGAGACTTATAGTAATATTGAAGTTCATTGTCCTTTTATTTAACTCTATTTTACCTTTAAAACGTAATCTAAGTGTTTAGATTTTCCATTGATTAAAAGTACGTTGTGGCTCCAAATCAATCAACTTTGTCAGAAGATTCAAATAATAACATCAAATAAAGATCTGTCCACTATGAAATGTTGCAGATATTTTGCAACAAAAAGGGAAAATAGCTATTAGTGGTATTGAGCATCATTAGAGCTTGTGAAATTCACTCAAAACCAAAAAAGTTAAAATCATAAGGAGTATGAATTTGTCATGAAGTAATGGCAAATTAAATGATCAACATTCGAGTAAATACCAAAGTAACTGTGTCAGCAATGATTCACATTTGCAACATAGTCACATCTAAATGTCCCAATTCATTTGCAACCCAGAACAATCTGAGCATTCTATTCAAAACTCAAGTATTTCTTGGGTCTGAGAATTTCCCTCTCAATCCACGATCATGTCGCTTCCATTGAAATAATGTTCTGTTAAGAGAGAAAGAGATGGAGATGGCACGAGAAACAGTGATTGATTGATAGCGAATTTTTACAGCTTTTAGTGGCATTAGAACGGCTGAGGTAAATTCAATCAAAACTGACCACTAGGTATGCATTAGTGTATACTCCTCTACTACTTTCTTGAAACAATGAAAAATAGTTGCAGTTGAAGAAGTGAAACAATGCAGATTGCGGTGGAGAAATAGTTGTGGTATTAGGAGGACTGATGAATGATAACGATTACGGTGAAGGTAACAAATAATATACATGGAGATAATGAAAGTGGCATTCGATTGAAGTGAAACGAATCTACGAACAAAATGAACACTTCACATGCACTAAGTTCTAATATGCGATGAGGAACAAATTTCCTTATGTGCTTAGGTAGAAGTGTATAAAAGAAAGACTCGGGTGTAGTATAAAACTACTTAACCTAACTAGGTCATGGTGTTAAGTCTCCACTCATTCATATCTCATCATCAAAATGCAAACTAGCTCTAATCTGAGTGTCATCATTATATGCCATTGTATCAGCATTTGAATTTCTCACCTTTGTCGAATATTTAAAAGCCATTTCTCACCAACATCAATTTTAAATAGCATTCCCTCTTCTAATTACTCTGTGAAAATAGTTTAAATACAAACATTTAATTTGGAAGATCAAGAAAGATGAATTCACTCACGTTAGAAGACACATGAACAGAAGGCGCTGTATCTGGTAAGCCAAGAATTTCCATAATAGTGAAACCGACATTGGGCATGTTCTGTGATGAATGAGTTGATTTGTTGTTGTATGAAACATATATTGCAGTTCATTATGAGTTTGCTTAAATCTGATTGGCTTTTAAAGAACCAATGAGGGAGGGAGAGGATAATAAGACGCGTAACTTATGCACCAATCAAGTGAAACATCTCATAGTGATGCTGGCCTATCAGCAGCCACTTCTGTGAGAATCACACCCCTTAGTATATCCAAATACAATTGAACCCACAAAATATCAATAACAAAGCAGTAAATGGAAAAGCAATAGTTAAATCTCGATGGGGAAAAATTGTTACAGCAAGTGTGATTTTAGATTTTAAATATTCTACGTAAATTTGGATTATAACTTGAATAAATTCAATGGAGCATATATTCGTTCTCTTCATTTGATTCAAATATTGAGAGTCACTCAATGCATGCTTACTGAATGTGTTCGTTTTATCTAATCTCACCTAATCGGGTCTACTGGATCACATAATTCGATTAGTAAGTAATTTGAATGCGACAATAAAACGCAACTAGCTTGATAAAATGAACTATCGGCATATTTTTACTGTTAAACTCTCGATGGGGAAAAATTGTTACTGCAAGTGTGAGTTTAGATTTTAAATATTCTACGTAAATTTGGATTATAACTTGAATAAATTCAATGGAGCATATATTCGTTCTCTTCATTTGATTCAAATATTGAGATTCACTCAATGCATGCTTACTGAATGTGATCGTTATATCTAATCTCACCTAATCGGGTCTACTGCATCACATAATTCGATTAGTAAGTAATTTGAATGCGACAATAGAACGCAACTAATAATGATAAAATGAACTATCAGTATATTTTTACTGATGAAATTCAACTTGGATACTAAATCATTTTTCTTGGCATATAGCTTCCTTGGGGCCGCAAGTGGTAGATTGCCACCAAGGCACAAGGCGAAGTCGGGCACAAGTGATGATGACATGAATTGACATGAATAACAGCTAGTGGAGACACAAAAGAATTACATTTTCCTGAGAAGATATTGCATAGCAAGAAAAGTTGTGCAAAATATGACTCTTACCTCAGAAGAGGAATAATTTTTGTTGCATGATTTAAAAATATCTTTTAATTTTTAGTGACTCCCTTTTCAACTCTATTTTTATTTTTCCATTCTTCACACTCTCTGCCTTGTCGCCATAGTTTTCAAACAAGGGAGATTGGTTTTTTCCTCTGCAATGCGAAATGTGTGTTGGAAGAATAACCTCACATCTGTGTACTTTTCAAAACGATTGACAAAATACAGATATTCGAACTTTCTTTACTTGTGAATATAAATTTATATCGAATCGAACTCGTTTTAAAAGTTATCATTACCCCATAGCATAAATGTTATGAAAAATTGTAAGTGAGCACAGTGTAGTTACTCTACAAGTTTTTTACGAATTCCCAATTATGTAAATCAAATTTATCCACTTTTCCCTGTAGGTGGCTTCAATAGACTACCACACTTTGATTAAACTTGAATTTCTAGTGTTCACAGATTATAATTAAGCCGACTTCTTGAGTGTATTTTAGTTTTAAATAAATCATCTGATGAAAAAAGTTACACAAGTTCCTCTGTGGTAAAACCACATCCTTGCAGGATAAAACTGTCAATTTGCCTCCTGTTCAACAATACGCCACAGTCACATCCATTCCAAGAGACTCTTTACCGAGTTGGGGACTACATGTACACTCTCGTTGTTAAGGTTTAATAGGCGAATTGATATCTGCATTAGATTTTTACAAGATTGTAACAAAATGTCATCTCGTATTATTTAATGCGTTATTATGGTATTTAACTTTGCAAAATAGAGAAATTGGAAATGCCTATCGAACCCCTTTTGCCAATTGTTAACTGGAAGGGAGATTACCTTGAAATGAAATTTTAAATTACTATATATTACATAATCTTCTGTGACATCATACAAATTCAAAAATCTTAAATTGGCCCACTTGTCTGTGAAGGGTTTTAATTTTCACTTTCTGATTTCTAAACAATTTTTTTTTCAATTTATGAAGAGGAAATATATTAGGCTACTTTATGATTCATTGTAAGAGAGGTGAATCGGAAATATAAACGTAAATAGCACGCTGTGCATTCATGAGTTTTTAACAGCTGATACAAGTCATTTCGGTTTCGAATATCATACTTCGGTTTGAAGACAAACTTCTTATCAGCAGTCATTTTTATCTTAGGATTGTTAGGAAGAGCCTAGAAGAAGTTGATGGAAAAAGAAATGGAACTCACCTCCTCCTCGAGCCACTTAATATCAGATTTCGGTTGATCGAGGAGT